GCTCCCTGCCTATGTTTATAAGACTCACCTAAGCCTGGGAAAGTTATGTTTAGATTATAATGCCCAGAATCCCCCATCCAAGTAGCCATGAGAGATTCTGGGAGTTGTTGTCCAAAAAGCCCTCAACTTTCCCCAGCGGCGTATATTTTAAGCAAGCAAAGAGCTTCCTTTTCTATCCACTGCCACCAGCAGCATGTCATTTTTCAATGTGGTCAGTCATCAAGAAACCCCAGTTCCCATAGGAAATGGAACAGAAAAATGTGAATATCCAGAACTGACCTGCTTTCAAATTACTTTTCATGAACTGGGTCTGGGTCCCCTCGCCACAATCGAACAGCCAGCATTCTCCTTCGAAGCGAACTACCGTAGCTGAGGCACCTCTGGTTGGAGATGGATACGCGGCACCCGTCCCCAGAAAAGTTACATCCATCGACATTTTACTCAGAAGAGGTGCGACACCTAAAGGAGACAGGAACATGTCCAAATTTGATATATTTTTTTTGCTTTGCTGGCCACACTGTCAACCTGTTTCAGAAAAAATAAATAAAAATAAAGCTTTCAGACCTCAAAAGGTACTGAGAATGTTGCAATCTTGCACACACAACTAGAAAGTAAGATCCATTGAACTCAGTGAGATTTATTCCCTAATAACTATGCAAATTATTTCCTAGTTACTATTAGTTACTAGTTAACTTCCCAGCTGCCCCCTTGGGTCCCATATTGGAAGAAAGGCAGGATATAAATTAGATAAATAAATACTGAATTACATCGATATCTCTTTCACACAACCCTTACCACTTCCATTGCCAAATGTGCCTCCTATAGATTTCTGGGATTTGTAGTTTGGTGCACTAGAGCTCTTCAGCAGTAATTTCTAAATTCTTCACAAAATGATCAATCCCAGGATTTCATAGGATGGAGCCTTGGCAGTTCAAGTTGCATCAAAATGCTTTAACTCTGTTATGTCAGTAAATTGAAAAGCCAGAAGTTTGAGTTGCATTAAACAGTCCTAAACTACAAGTTGAATCTCCCTTATCCAGAATTCTGAAATCCAAAATATTCCCAAAAACCCCAAAACTTTTTTCAGGTGGCTGAGACAGTGACACCTTTGCTTTCTGATAGTCCAGTGTGGACAAATTTTGTTTCATGTACAAAATAATTAAAAATAGTCATTAAAATATGTTTATAAGGTGCATATGAAACATAAATTAATTTTGTTTTTAGACTTTGGTCCCATCTCCAAGATATCCCATTA